TGACTTCTTCCTACTCCATTCAAACATGTAATAGGTGTAAGCAAACTGATTTTGAATTAGCATAGGTTGGATATGTGAAATCATGTGTGTTATTGTCATTTGCTCATTGTTCTGTTCTGCATGTTTGAAAGAATAAATCAATCAATCAATCATATATTTGCTTCCATAAAACCGTAATATTATTATTTTATTAACAATAATTAATATGTTCACACAGGATTTTGTATTATCATGTTCATACCATCACATTACTACAAATGTACCAAACCAAAAGACCTTTTTAAAATCCTTCATTGACAACTGACACTAAATAAAATGGAGTTCACTATGATGGATTATCAGTTTTAAGCTTGTTTAAAGTCTCTGTATGAAAAAAATGCTGTATTGTAGTAAAATGAACAGAACCAGCAGTTGTATAAAGGCAGATCTCAATGCTACTTTTCTCCTCAGGAGCAGGAAGTTGTTTGGAGGCGCTCGGTGCAGGCAAACCTCTGCTGGTCGTTGTCAATGACAAGCTAATGGACAACCACCAACTGGAGCTGGCTGCACAGCTGCACATGGACTCCCACTTGTTGTACTGCACATGCAGGTACAGTATGTGTTCCTCACAGATGTGGTACAGTTTATACAGGTGGGGTTATTTGATCAAACGAAAGTAACAAACTTATTCTCCTGATCACACTTTCAGCACATTGATACAAACACTGAGGAGCATGGATCTCTCTGCGCTTCAGCCTTTCCTCCCTGGGCAGCCAAGGAAATTTGCAACCTTTCTAGACAAAGCCCTCGGTGTTCGGTGAAACTTTTAGTTTCAGTGTTGATTTTTGTCAAACTGAAGAGTAATGACTTTGAGAATATCATATTGTAGTAGATTACAATAGTTATACAGGACACAATAGACATTGATGAGCATTTCTAAACACATTTTATATTTTTGTATTGAAAAATATAATACATGTGTAATTTGAAATCCTGTACAAGGTGTACATGTACAAGGCAATGAAATGTATTTATTTATTCTAGATTTTGTTTTATGCAAAGCAAGAGGGGAAAAACATTTACCAATCTGGGGTGATCGAATCAGATAATGCATACAGTTGAAGGCATAGTTGCACTTTGAGATAGAATAATGGCTGTGTTGACCTATATAATCCACAAGCATCAGGTTTTCTCAGTGAATTTCATTCTTACCACAGTGCACCATAAGTGACTGTGCTGTTGACATATATATATATATTTTTTTTTTTATTCATTGTCACTTGTAATTTTTAAATATTCTTGTAATCGATGCATTTTGTCAGTGTCCGTGACACAGTCTGGCGAAGTCTCGGTAGGACACTCTGGGCTGTGGCCAAACACATGCTGGAGAAACACTAAATAGAGGTCATGCTATATATTTCACTGAAGGTTAAAATCTGAACAGTCTTAACTTTCACTGTACATGGATTTATGAATACACATGTATGTGACATCCTTCTAATATCCATTTCATGTAAATGGTGCTGATTTGCAGAGGCACTAAAGGAATTTGCTGCATCACAGTGAAGCTAGTTGTACCAATTCTTGCCACAAGGATGAGATGATGTGACCTTGTCCTCCCAGCACATAGTGGAGTGTGCACCCAGCACTTCATATTGTCCCTGGTGCAGTCTTACCAAGTCCCATTGTTTAAATTCCAAGTAAAATCTGTCCCCCTCTTTTAGCATTTATAAGCAGTGTATAAATATTTCATAAAGGTGTACAACACATGATATTGTGGTTTTATACAGCTACAGTATAAGGACATTTAATGTTTATTTATATACAGTATTTACAATTTTTACTTCATGTATGAAGATGGTATTTTGAGTTATTGCCTGTGTGTCTTACTGTAATGTAATTTCTAATCTGTTTATACACCAGCCACCTACAGGATGAGTTATAGCTGTTGCTAGATAAATTTTTTATGCACTGATTAAATGCTAAATAAAGGACTTAAAAATAAAACGTTGCCTCAAATAACTCAGCATGCCATGGCTACCTTTTTATACTACAGTATTATTACTACAACCTGTCTGTGTATCTCTGCAGACCAGCAGGAGAGAAGATGCATTTTAAAATATTTTGTCAGCTCTGATACATCTGCTACAATGACCAGTGTATGAGAGGCTGCCATAAATCATCTAACATACAGCAGAGAAGTATTTGAACAGCCTGGGGCTGACATTTTAAGAGATGTTGGGTGTGTTTTTTGTTTGTTTTGTTTTGTTTTGTTTTTTATTCAGTGTTGTCCAGCTGGTGTGGAGTGACATTTAGGTCATTTCAGTAAAGTCCTGGGAAAACTGCATTAAAAAGAGCTTATTGACAATGTACAGTTTACAAAAATTGATGTTGGTCTGACACCGTTGAGTCATTTCTTTGCATTAGTTTCTTCACAAGCAGGAGACTTGTTAAAACAGGAAGTGATAGGTGGAAGACAGCACGTAGTCTAGTTCAGCTGTTCATACTCGGATTAGTGTTTAGAGTCTATTCTATTACAAAAGCTGAGAGAGTCAGAGATTCAGCAGCACATTTACTGAATTTACCAAACCTGATTTTACCAGCATTTTTTAAGATCCTCTGTGAACAATTGGGGAAGCTACTTTGAAAGCTTTGCAAGGTGATTCACTGTGAAAGAAGTTGACCCAGAGGAGTGCTACTGTAGGGTGAAATTAAGTTTGGTTAACTAAAGCTACTCAGAAAATGTAATTCAAACTACTTTGTAAAATATTATCTCACAATGTACATGTGATACAAAATATACAGTAACAAAAATGTCAAGTCAGCAAAAAATGACACTAAGCTGAGTTTATTATGCGAGACCTAAACCTGTCCTAAATAAAACAATCCCATCTGGGGTTTTGACAAGGACAAAACAGCAGGAAGTGTTATATTTTTATGTAAACTAAACTGGGTTTTTTAATCATCTGGAACAGTAAAGAAAAAATATTTAACTTGCACCTTGTTGGACAGTATGAACACTGGTCTAAACAATGGGCCTATCTTTTTACTTGTTGGGGCAGAATCTCTTGTTTATAAAATGCATGAGCAATCTCTCAAAGCTCTTATCCATAGGCCATTCTGTTTGGCTCTGAAAATGTCCTTGCCAATGCTGAAAAGCTGCTCGCATGCAGCATGTCAAAAATAAAAAAATATTCCTTTTTATGGCCTAAAATCATTTGTAGTTGCGGCATACAAAAATGGCAAAAAGTAATAGAACTACTTGACATCACTACAAATATGAATGTAGTTCAACACCCAGTAAACTATTGCAAAACAAACTACTAGTTTAGTTTACTGCTTCCCGACACTGGGTGTGAATTTCCCAGCTTGCCTGAGGTACAGATGACATTTTAGGCAATAGAAGATAGTTCAAATGTCAAATCTCATTTTACTGTTATACAAAGGAAATAAACCAGAAGCCTGGCTGACTTCCTTCAAGTAAAGTCCCTCTGTTTGTTTATAGAATTTCTATGGAAATGGAGGATTCACTGTTAAAGGAAGTTCATTGGGACAGACACATTTTTTCAGTTCCTTCAATCATATGTGTCATAGCTGGCAAGAAAAAGTGTAATACATGAAGCATGACAACGTTGGTTTCTGATTCAGACATCTCATAGCACCTCAGCTTCATTAAGGAAGCGGCTGTAACAAAGAACAAGAAGAGAGTAACATGTCAAGACAAAACGCATAGTGATTGTAATAAAGACAAAGCACTCAAACATACATTCCTGTCACTTGTTTTTCCCACAACAAAGCCTCTTCCAGCTTTATTTGTATTTAAAACCTATGGACCATATAAAGGTAGTTGTAAGAATATAATTGGGTGCTTTACTTTAGCTTACATTTGTCTATTTTTAGTTAATTAAAAATGAAAATTAAAACATTTGCATGCAATTATCTTCATGTGTCCTACTGAGACTGCAAGACCGCTTCGTCACTAAATCTGGTTTTGTTCCTTTTTGTGTTCAGATTTGTTTTCACTTTCACAAAACTGAAGTTTCAATAAAACAAAAAACTTTTTTGCAAAGGTTTTGTAAATAGCAATCAATAATCCTGCTTAATAAAGAGGTAAAGAGTTTCTTTGTGAGACACATATGAAGGAGTTAAAAAAATACAAACCACAGAAAACACAATTGAGCTGAGTTAACTGAGATGAAAGTTGTGTTTCCAGCACTCAGACAGAAAAACGGCCTGATCTGAAATATTTCAGTGGCAACATTTCTGATAAACAACAAACATTCCATTTATTGAGAGAAGAGTGAACTGATGGTCAGTTGTGGGCATGGCATGAGTGACTGTACTGACTGCTTGTTGTGTGTCTCAAGATGCAAGAATTGTGCATCTTTCCTTTGTCTTTGAGATTTTTAAATTACTTGGTGTATGACAGCAAGAATAGGTTTTTATTGTCTTCCCCGTTAAGTCAGAAGACGACAGATGTAATCAGTCTTATAAATTGTATCTATGTAGCTTTGTAAAGTCAGAGATTAACCTGCACTACTACTTTAGCTTTAATAGCACAACCCAGTCTGATTTTATATCCTTACACTATATGAAAAAAATGTATGCAAACAAATTAACATTATACCACAGGAATTAATATGCTGCTCTAACAGCCTCCACGCTTTCCACCAGATTTAGACTTTAAATTAAGGGGTGCTGAATGGGGTTGAGGTCAGAGCTCTGTGCAAGTCAAAGCCCCTGCCAAACTGGTAAAACAGTTTCTTTATGGCCCTGGATTTGTGTACAGAGGCATTGTCATGTAGAAACAGGAAAGCGCCTTCCCCAAACAGCCACTGCAAAGTTGGAAATACACTATTGTTTAAAATCTCATCAGATGTTGTAGCATTAAAAGAGAACTCCACCTCCACATGGAGGTCGGTTTACTCGTCATGGGGAGTCTATTCTTGTGTCTCTGAAGGAACTTTGTTGGGTCTCAGAAGAGAAAACCCTGATGGTGTCATTAGGGGTTTAAAAGATATGGGTTTTTACCAGCTGTGACAAAAACAAGCTATCATATTGCAACATGGGAAGTGTAGGATCTGGTGTCGGTTATCTGCTCTGCATCCTCTGCCTCATTATGACCATTCATTTTTAATCTGTCTCTTGACAGTCTTTATGAAACTGCAGTGAAATGCCTCTTTACAGTTTCCCATATCTGGAAATAGAGGCTTTAGCCAAACCATGAACAGCTCCAGCTGAACACAGCTGAATACACAAAAGTGTACAGGCAGAGGTGTTCACATACCTTTTGGCCTTATAGTGTATAGAGATGGGTAATGATTTTTGAAGATTCGAATAGGTATTACATTTTTAAAAATCGAATATTTCATGCAATTATGGTTTTGTCTTTAAAAACAAAGAGCCACTGTGTCTAGAAAGAACTCAGTGTGTCTGATGCTACATTTCCCTCATTCAAATGGTTGTTGTTGCTCAAACAGGGCAGCTAGTACAAAATGGGGGTGAACACAAAGCAGCTCTAAAAAAAAAAAATCCCACACAACTGTGTCAACAAAACCACTTCTTCCTAACAAATGTCCTGTTCAGGCATGATTAACCTGAGTGCCTATTTTTACCTCCACTATACAGGGCAAGTTTTTTCTAAGCAAAAACACCAAAACCCAACTTTTTAAATGTGATTATGTGCTTTCCAGTTTTCTAGTAAATTCAGTATTTTAGTGTTTTTGAATATCATCAGACAAAACAAGCAATTTGAATGTGTTAACTTGGAAATCAGGAAACTATAATAGTCATTTTCACTGTTTGTCAATTTATACAAAATCAAAAATCAATCAATTATTAAGGAAAATATTTGTCAGATGTATTGATAATGAAAATAATATTTGGTTGCTGTCTCACAGTTCTTGCAATGAAAAAATATAGCAAATTGATAAAATACTTTACAACAAAGGAGCATAAACTGAAACACGGGGTGTCTCTTCAAGATCAGGGCTACAGGATGGAGGATTGAGGGCCTTTCACAGCTGATATTGCGCCTGAGTGGTGCAAATAAATATGCCAATGTTAATGTCAAGCAAAATAAAAAAATGAAAATGACTATAAAGAGACAGAAAAAGGAAAAGCGATGCAAAACAAGTACAAACAGATGCAATATAGCCACAGCTAACATGCAGAAAAACTTAGTCTAATGTCCTATAGATGCAAAATGACCAGAAAGACACAAAGCAAACACAAAATGAGCTTAGAGATGTAAAACAAATAAAAGAGAGAAAAAACTACCACATAGTCTCTTTAGCCCCTTTTCCATCACCTGGTACCGGCTCACCTCGCCTCGACTCACCTCCACTCGTTTTTGGTACCGGGTGCTTGGTTTCCCACTGCAGATGTTCCACTCTCAGTGTAGCTGGCTGTCATAGTGACACCACATTACACTGCTGTGACGTCAGCAACCGACACAGTAACAATGGAGGACATCAAAGGTATGCTGCTCTTGATTCTCGGTATGTGAATATTTTTAGTTAGCACAGTAACTAGGGTAAAGTAGTGGTTAGCATTAAATAACACTGCTTTTAAAAATGGCGCTTTGTTTGTTCTAGGACTAATCACAAATTGATGACGTGATTTTTCTTGACCAATCGCTAGTCTGCAATGTTTACATGTCACTGTTTGGTATTGCCTCTGCTCACTTGGACCCTTGACAAAGGTGATACTAAAAATAGTACCAGGTACTAGGTACCATCACCAACATTTGACTGATGAAAACACAAATAAATCGAGTCAAATTGAGCCAGCACCAGGTGGTGGAAAAGGGGCTTTTCAGTCTTTTAGTTTTGGGTCTTGCTCCTATGCAAGAGGGGTGTGGGGGTTTTTACATGTGTGCCCAGGGGCCTGTTGTCTCATAATCCGTCCATGCCTGGGTCCTATGAATTGGTGTTAAGTTTGCAGCCTGACTCTGGTCAGGACCTGTTTTTGCCTCTCTGAGCTGTTTGCAGATGTTCATTTGCATTTGGATATAACCGCCGCCCTCCGGCCCCGCCCCCTGAGCTTTGATTGGGCGCACTGTTACTAGAGCTGTCAGCTCTGCTCTGGGAAGGTTTTCTCCAGTGTCAGTCCAGGCTTCAGCTGCAGCCAGTGGTAGGCGTTTTGCCTTTGTTAGCTAGCTTGGAAGGCACCAGGATAGGACAGAGCCGCATCCATGCAATAGCACATTTTTTGGAAAATGATCATCTGTACGAATAAAATGGAGTACCCCCTGAGAACGCAGTGCCAGCGAGTCCAGAAACAGGTAACGTTGGGTTAAAACTGACATCAGACAAAGCTGACAATAGTTATGCTAAGTTAGTTTTAACACAATTAAAGCTAACGGCTAACTAATTAGCCCGAGTAACGTTCATTCATTTGCTGAAGGGATTATTGTAGCTAACGTTATAACAAAGAAAAAGCTCGTCCCTTTACCAGCTTTGTTGTCTCTTTTAGTTTTAAATTACCTGTTTGAGCAGCTGATATATAAGATAAATGTTACCATTAAGTTCTATCAGTGTCTAAAACTTTTAACACGGTGTCAGTAATGTTACAGCGGCTGTAGTTAACGTTAGCGAGCCAAACTTCTGATCGAGCTAACTCAGCTAACGGTTTATCGAGGATACATGCTAGTATAAAACCACGGCTGAAAACGTAAAAAAAAAAATGTTTTTCATGATTTGCTTCATGGGTAGGGGATTCCACTTTCCTCACCATCAAGTAATATTGTGTAACGTTAGTTTCCATGTCCAGCTGTTTGCATGTCACGTAAAGCTCGCAGTATTTCCTTAGTGTTTTAAACGCTAAGGTTACTAAGCTATCTAATCGCTAAGCTAACGTTAACTAAAAATGAACATTTTCTGATAACGTTTTCAGATTAGCATCACAATGAAGGCACATACAATGCAACGAATACTTGCTTTTGTTGGTTCACCCTGGGAGATTTATGTACTTCCTTTTAATATGTGGCTACATTTAACTTTTAAGTTGCACTGATTTTTGTCAAAATCTTCTGTCACAGTACGCTAACAGTTGAGATCGTTGAAAGCGCTAGGTGAGGGTGACATCATCTGAGTTCTGCGAAGAAAACTGTCAGTTAACAGTTAACTAGTTAGGTGTGTGAAGTAACTTGATGCAACGCCATGTATTTAATTAAAAATAAGATAATGTCCGCTCGAAAGGATGCATTTAATCCGCGATAACCGGTGAGGAAGGTTCCGTTTCTACTGCTTGTGGACCCTCCGAATGCTGGAGATTTTTATTGTGCTGCTTGCTGGCTAAACTGGACTGCCAATCAAAGTTGTTTTTCTCCTCCGTCGCTGTTATATCATTTTGCAACAGAAAGGGGGCGCTGTGTCAAGTCCAAAAAGACGTGTTTGCTGCAGATTAGGGTCCAGAAATGTAACAAAACAGGGAGGAATGTGAGCACCAAGGGAGTCAAAACCCTCCACTCTGGTTTCAAGTCACATTTGTTGCTTTTCACCAGTGCACTCACTGCTTGCTCTTTGTCCTAATTGTCACTCAACTTGCATTTTACTATGTATTTGATTGTAACTGGTGACACATTTTGTATCTGTATTGACACAAACAACTCTTAAGTCTGTTAATTTAAACAACAAATTAATTGGCAGGCATAAGCATCACCAAATTTGAGCACCTGACTTTGATATGATGACCTACATGCCCCAGTCTTGAAAAAGCTGAGAAATGAAGCAACCCGTTATCAGTAATAGTCTTTTGTAAAGGCATCTCCTCCTTGCTCTACCCTCCTGCCGTGTTTTCTGACAGGTTTAATCATTCATCTGCTGTATGTGGGCTCGGCTTTCTGTCTATTTTTTCATCCTGCAGCAGTGTTTTTGTTGGTCTTGGTTGTGTTTTATGTGCCGTCCTACCAAACAGCTCCTTTCCATCCCCTCTCTGAGCTGCAGCTGCTTTGTTTTGCTTTACTCCCCGAGTTCAGGTTGCAGAGCCAACATTGGCCTCGGCTGCTTGTGTTTTCGGTGATTTGGAGAAGGGTATTAATGCTGCTGGGATGCCTGTGCATGATAAGGACAGACCCCTTCAGACTCACTTGGAATGCAGATTTAATGTCCTTTTCTTGTATCTACAACAGCTCCTTTCTGCAGCTCACCAAAGCTGTCATGCAGATAGTACATGTGCACATCCCATCTCAACCTGTCACTTTACCCATTGTAGACTGCCGCCATCTTTTGTCCACTTTAGTCCTTTGCCCTCTTTCGTATTCCTCCTCAGACCGAGCTGCTGTTTTCATTGTCAGCCTGCTATTAAAGCCTGTCTTTGTCTCCGTTTACCTTTCCTCCCTTCACTGACGTCACCCTGTTTTTCATTTCATCTCTGCCTCTTGCTCCTCTCTGATCAATAAACAAATGACCTCTCTTGTGCTGGGAATGTGGGTTTTTAAAAATCTTTCCAGTTTGTTTGTTTTTTCTTTTTGAATGTCAAACTATTCGCACCTGTGAATGTTGTTCACAACAGCCTGTTGTTTTTTTTTTTTTTTACCTCTTGAAGACACAAGTTAAAATTCATCTTGTGAATCTGGCAGCTATAGTAAATATCAGTCTCACCTTATTCTTTTTTTAAAGTCAGTTTGTGCAGAGTGCGTTGCAAGCAGAATTAATAGGTTTCCGTGCACAAACCCTGAGTCTGTTTACATCTATGTGAAACCAAATACACAGTCACCTAAATGGTGATGTGCTTCTTTTTGCTTTATATATCCACCCACACATGCTTGTTGCCAGCTTCTGTTTTTTTCCTTTTCATGCGGGTGTGTTTTTTCATGTGGGTGGACAATAAGGAGTGTATTGCCTTATCAAACTTACTGTTTGTAGCTTTTGCGACTGGTTTTCAGGCAACAGATATGAAACGGTGTTGTTGGGTGTCTGGACAATTTTGACAAAAGGCCTCAGTCTAAACCTTCTTTCTCTATAGTATATTAATCACAAGTATTGATTAGTTCTGATGAAAATGTTTCTTTAGATAATGTGGGTTGGATGGCTATTGTGGTCAATTGTAATCATTATCGCAGTTGTAATTCAGTCTGGCAACAATGAAAGAAGGGAGAGATGTGTCGTTTTAGCTAGACTTCACCTTTAAAAAGAGCCCAGAAAATTCATCATGGGAAATTTAGGATAAACACATTTACGGTAAGCATTGTCATAAACATACTGTATATTGACTTGGACAAGACGTTTTGCTGAATTTTAATTTTGCTTTCGTGTTAAGTTGTGAGCAGACCGTAGGATGAACGCTGTAGGACGTGTCATTTCCTGCTGCACGATGGCTTACATCAGCTGTAGTTCCTGTTTCACTCTGACTTTAGTGGTTGTATTTGTCCAGACATGTTTGAGATGCAACAAATTATCAGTGTCCTCTTTGTGTGATGACAAATCTCATGTCAGTCTGTACCTGAGTAAGTGTTGTAAGTGTTGTCACTTCGTTAACTGTTCTTTTCATAACTGTACACTTGATGGTATCTTGTTTGTTTGTCTGTCTTGTTGTATTTTATCATCTGACAACAAAGCCCTGTATAGGCAGTGGGTCCCAGACATTGTCCTGTATAAAGTCTGTCTTTTCAGCTTTAACTGGTACATTTTCTCTCACTCACTGAACAAGGAGCTGTTGCATAGAGCATGCTGACATCTGTGCTTTGCTCAGGGATGTGGAAGCTACTGTTGTACTTAGGTTCATGGTGTCAGTCTGGCTGCTCATGATGTCTCACTCTGATAAGATTTTGTCATAACCTTGGTGGTATCTTGGTCATCTGGCTTTCTATAGGCAACTTTCCAGTCTGAAATGTTTTCCATTTCATTCCCGTTTCAATTGATTGATTGTTTGGTCCAAAATGTCAAAATTCTTTACAGATGCAAATGATGATTTAAAAATGTCTTGTGTCCAACTAAGACCCCAAAGATATTGAGTTTAGCAGAAAATCCACATTTGGACAAACTAAACACAGTCAATGAATTGACTGCTTGTTTCATGTCTAGACTGTATACAGCTCAGAAAGCATGTTAATACCAGCACCAGACTAATACATCAGCTGGCTGAGATTACAGGATGTATGTTGGCTGGTATATAACAAGAAGTTGCTGAACCACCTTGCCATAGTTGTTGTCTTTAAATTATAAACATTGTTTCTGTTATACACAGTAGTCTGTCTTATAGAGCATATTTTCTATAGTAAAATATGTCTGATTTAAGGGATCATTATCAAGAGTTTGTTACACATATATGTTAAACTGAACACCTTCGATATATCATCAGGTTTGGTTTTTTTTTTACTCAAATATTAATCTCTGTCTGTAAAGTCCAGCATTCATTGAACAATGTGTTTGGATTATGGGTCATTCATAATCGGATGAACTATATAATCAGTTAATGTTGCAGCTTATTCTACAATGACAGGGCCAGTTAGAGCTCGAAGGAGTAGTAGCCTAGATTCTGCAGCTCCGCAAACTAATTGGTCACTCTTGTATTTGCAAAGAGATACTTGTGTGAATATGCTCTTGTCAATGGGGCTTTGATTGACAGACGCCTGTGTGCTTTACAGCGACTCCAGGCCATTTCCTGTGTATATTGACAGACAAGAGCAGGTCTGTGTCCAAGTGTATTTCATTTATTGCCAACTTGTTTCTTTTTATCCTCCGCCTTCTTTCAGATCTTTTTTTGTTAGTTATGTAACCCATGAGATTAGAGAGGCATAAACATCAGAATGATATTGATTTGATAACTGTGTGGTATGTTAACATGTCTTTTTAAGGACTGAGCATGAACCTTATCTAGGTCAAGAGGTGGAGCCTGTTGCAGAATCTGGAGGACACCCTCATCTGCTGCAGGGAGAAGTGAAATATCACACGCAGCTACCAGCCAGATAAACACGTTGCTTAATGCCAAAGGCTAAAATTAAGTAACAAGGTCAGCAACTTGCTATCTTGTCTATGATTTGACAGGAGGGTAATAATCCTAGACAGCAGTCTATGCTGTTTAAAGGAGAAGTTGTTGCCAACATTTGTACAGTTCAGTCTACAGCTAATTATTTGACTTGGGTCAGAGCCATGCACTCAGATTTCACATGCAGGGGAGTCCTCACCTGTGACCAAGCACTAGAATGCTTATTACATTACTTTCTGTGGTTCCTGCATGTAAATCCCCTCTTCAAAGGATAATTGGGTGCTTTTTATTCTTGGTTACAACTGCATATTGGGTTGTTTATTTTCATTCAATGTCATTTCAAAGAAGTGGACACATGTCATTCAATTTACATCTAGTTATGTAGTGGAGGTGTATGAAGCGTCTGGTCCCTGCAGCCAATATACGTTGGCGGCAATGTCTTGTGGAGCTCCTAGCTAAGCGCCGTTGTTTGCTTATTTTATTTGAAGAAAGAATATTGTAAGGAATGCACTCACTCAACAGTGATGCCAGTATCACAGCATCACAGCTGCTGTTCTTCCAAGATTACCCCTCTTTGGCTGTTCTAAGGTATGGAACATGACTCCAGTTCAAAGCACAGTCTGAGCCTATCGTCACGTGGTGTGGACACTGAAGTCCAACCTTATCTCGAGCCAACCTGCTTTGGCTACAAACTGGCCTCTGATTATTCCTTTGGGGAACACTCAGTCCTGTGTTATTGGGTTTTGTATCATATTTAACTTAAAGGGAGCATTTTGCACTGTATTACAAAGGAGACTTTTAACATTGAGAACATGATTGTAATCTTTACACAAGAAACACAGTCATTGTCACTGTGCGCTGTGACAGTGTCGATGGCTGCTAGGGTGGCAACTGACTCAGCTGATTACGTTCACATTTAAGTGGTTAATTGCTTTGTTCAGCCAACCGTCCCAAACCTAGATGTAGATATATATTCAAGATTACAGTAATATAATGCAGTGAAAAGCAGCATATTTTCACATCTCTCTTCTCCAGTAACCAACATCTCAGTGTTTTTGCTTTTCCCTCTCTGTCCTGGTTTCTGTAGGTGATAGTGAACGGTGAGAAGGAGCGAGTGTCGCTGTTGTTCATGAAGGCTCTGGTCAGCAGGGGGAGCGTGGATGCTGTGTCCCAGCAGATGGCCTCTCATCCTCAGTACTTGGAGAGCTTCTTGCGCACACAGCACTACATCCTGCACATGGACGGCCCCCTTCCGCTGCCATACCGCCATTACATCGCCATCATGGTCAGTGACCTGGCTGTTCTCATAAATGCATCACCAGCAGCATACCAGTATTATTCTGACCTGCATGAATCCATCTGCTTGCTTTGTGCCCTTGTGACTTCCAGGCTGCAGCACGACATCATTGTACCTACCTGGTGTACCTGCACTCAACCAACTTTCTAAGGGTGGGTGGGGACCCTATGTGGTTACAGGGCTTGGAGGCAGTGCCCCCTCGCCTTCGCCTCCTTGACCATATCAACAAAGTGCTGGCTCACCAACCGTGGCTCACTGCCTGGCCACACATCCAGGTACAGCAAAGCAAGCACAACACACTTAACATAAAAAGCTGTTATAATGGAAACAAAACAAAGCCCTTTGAGATGGTTTAGGTGTCCACTGTCAAATTATTCAACTCTGTTTTCCTGATCTTTTTAAGTTATTTAAAGTTTTGAATCTCCTGCCTTGAACATGGGCGGTGTTGAAACTGTGCCAGCTGTTGATGTTACAGCCAGGCATGAAATTGTAAAGATAGATTTAGAGAAATCTGAACAACTTTGAGTGGAAAAAAATGTCACACAAGTTTAAAATATACTCATTATTTTTAGAAAATGGTCAAAAAGGCCATAATACCAGCTCTTTAAATGATTACCTGTCATCATTGACAAACACAGAATTAACTCTTTAGATCATTCAGGGTGCAGGTAAAGGAAAATAAAGCCTTAAAACTACACAGTTTATTTGTCTGATCCTGAGCTTTTGTCTCTGCTCCCTCCAGACGCTGCTGAAGTCGGGCGAGCAGTGCTGGTCGCTGGCTGAACTGGTGCAGGCCGTGGTGATCTTGGCTCACTGCCACTCCCTCTGCAGCTTTGTGTTTGGATGCGACGCAGACTCAGACTCCAAATCTCCTAACGGAACCCCACCAACCTTCTGCCCCTTTGATGCTGCCAACGGCAATGCCAACGTGCCTCAGTCACTTGCCACTCCCCCTGAACACATAACACGACGACGGGTAACACGTCAGATTTTATTATAATAAATAAAGGATTGCAGAATGAATTACAGTATATTTTTTTGCAGAAGTATTTCCTCCGTGTTGCTTTTTGATCATTTATTATTCTAAGAAACCTTCAGTGTGCGTTTACCTTTGTTTATTTAATGCTCTGTATATACTGCAAGTTCCATAAGTGGAAAACATGCTGGAAATAGATGTGAAGATTTCTTGTAGTACTGTTTAAAATAGCATTTTACACTTGCTTCATTTGAGATGAACCGGAGAGACACAAATAAATAAATAAAATAAGCTTTTATAATTATAATGCTTATATACAGTTGGGCTGCAGTTGTCAGTTCATTATCACTTAAATTGTGGAACTATTTTTGCAATTATTCTTTTTGTCTTTAAAATGTCAGAACATAGTAAAAATAATTCAAGGTCTTTAAATTGCACTTTTTTCCCCAACAAAAAAAATTCAAAACACACAAATGTACAACAATATAAAACGGAGAAAAAGAAGAAGCCCAACAGTGAGGAATTTTAACATTTTTGTATGATAAGTGACTTTAATAAGTAATTGATAAAATGTCTGTCCATGATTGAGTTAAGTGACAGATGTTTTCAGCATGATTATAGAGTATTTTATTTAAGAAGCATTGGAGACCATGGATGTTTTGTTTCTCTGCATTACATCTAAACTAAAGAACACTTTAGGTTTTTTGTGTAAATATGCAATAAAAATGGTGAAATGACTACATTTTCAGGTAACATTTCTTGTCACAGTGGAAGTAGCTATGTTTGTTTTAATATATAAAGGTTTATTCAACTTCATCAGCAGTTTTTGTGGCGCCTGTGTCAACAGTCTCTGGACTCCAGTTGTGACATGGCGTGTCTAAAGCAGAGGATCCAGAAGTCCCAGGACGAGTGTCTTCTGCAGCAAGCAGGTAAGGCAGAAACACATGCACAGGCTAACTCGCTTCTCGTTATTTGTCTTGAGCATAAAGTTTAGGTCACATGTGAGAAATTACTCCTACACTTACTGATACACTCTCTCTCTATCTCCTTGGCTTTCACTGTCTGTCTTTTTTAAGATGCAGAAGAAGAGGACGAGATGATATGCTTTGCAGACCCGTCACGGTTCATCACAGACCCTGACTTTTGTTATCAGGAGTTTGCTCGGAGGGAGGAGGATCACTTCCAAGTATTTAGAGTTCAGGTGAGGACCTTATATTTGTGAATATGTTGGTAAATCTGTGTGTGTGTTATGACGCTTTGTGCTGTGGCCTCAGGGAATACGTGTTTCTGCAACCTGTAACATTAGCAACCAAACCAGTGTTTTACAATACAGTATGCTTTATGACTTAAATTTTCCAGCATTCTAATTAGCAGTAAACTGGTGGGTGTGATATAGCTCTCTTCCAAACTGCGTCTCCACCCGCAGTCAGGAGATGTTTGATTGGACTCCAGGTGGTCGAGGCCAAATTCAGTGGTAAATTTAGTGACATTTTAACACACTAGTCTGACTCGACTCACTCTTTTTCTTTTTATATTTTTGTAATTATGTTTTTCCTGAGATGTACAGTGACTTCATAGTTTTCAGACCTCTTCAGTTTTTGCACTCGTCAGTCTACATTCACTAATAATGTATTTTATTTATACAGTGCTTTTGAAGTAACTCACTGGCACTTTACACAAAGAAAAATTAAACAACAATAACAAAAAACTTTAAATTTAAGAGGACAAAACGCATATAGGCAATAAAATGCAAAAAAGAGCATGGTGGATGGGGAAAATTACAGGTTAAAAGCAACTTTAAAATGCAGGTCTTGACTCCTGTTTTGAAAGTGCTTAGTGTGGGAGTGTTTTCAGATGTCTGTGGCCAGTGAGCTCCAGAGGGTGGAGGCAGCAATAGCAAAAGCTCTGACGCCCCAGGTTTGGTGCTTTGCCCTCTGGAGCAACAAGAGGTGTGAGGTGGCTGAATGAGAGGGCAGAAAGGGGTGTGATGAAGAAGGAGATCAGTTGGGGGTGGCTAAAAACATCAGTAGTCTAATGCTATTAAAGTGCTGTCATGCTGTAGGTCAATCAGACCTGCTTTTGTTTCTGTGTATGTTGTGAAGCATGTGTCATATTGACTCTGCAGGACTATTCATGGGAGGACCACGGCTTCTCCTTAGTCAACAGATTGTATTCAGACATTGGGCACCTCTTGGACGACCGATTCAGGAGTGTGACCACCCTCCCCTCTTTGCACAGCCCTGACCTGAAGAGGGCCATCTGGAATTACATCCACTGTGTTTTAGGAATACGGTGAGGGTTCATTTTATGCATGTGTTAACAATAAAAACATCACTTGTTAATCATACAATAACCATACTTTTCACTGTATTTAGATATGACGATTATGACTATGGAGAGGTGAACCAGTTGCTGGAGCGGGATTTGAAGCTGTACATCAAGGCTGTGGCTTGTTTTCCGGATGCCACCAAAACTCCAGTGTGTCCACTGAGCTGGGCTATACTTAAAACATCCGAACGGGTAAGAGGGCTTTGTACCAACAGTCTTTAAAGTAAAAGTTCAGCATTTTGGGGACTTTGCTTATTTTCTTTCTTGCTGAGAATTGGATGAGAAGATGGATAGGACTCTCACATCTGTGCACTAAATCTAAAGGTAACAATGTCCCTATACCAGCATCTCTGAAGCTCAAGGGGCTTGATTTATAGTCGAGTGCCAGATCTCTCCTCTGCAATGCTGGATGTGTTATCAGGCTGTAGCAAACTTTACATTCCCCACTGTACTTGTGTTTACATTCTCTAACAAGTACTTACACAGATTTATAGAACTGGGCATAATTTTGCTGTGTTTTGTTACTGCATAAGAGATTCATTCATGCAGAGCAGTGATCACAGTGCTGTGCATAACGGGAAGGGAGAAGACTACTATTCCGCTCTTTATTGTGATTGTACAGAATAGAATGAGATTAGAGGTGCTCACAAGTCACAATGTCATAAAGCAATAAACATATAAGTAAAGTAACCAAAACCCAGTAGGCAGGTACAAAATATTAAATACTAAAATTAAGAAAGAGTCCCCCTTGCCCTGCTCAGTGGGTGAGCTGAACAATGGCTGTTGAAAAGAAACTTTTTCAGTCAATTTCATCATGTTTTGATGGATCTGTACTATCTGCCAGTGGGTAACATTTGAAATAGGTGATGACCAGGATGCAGTGAGCCTTTAAGGTTGCTGGCACTATCACCAAACTAGCATCAGTAGCATCAGTGCCCAGTAGGGCAGTACTTGTTGCTTCTATGTGGTATATCTGTCGGTGCTGTGGCCCCAGCTTGTAGTTGTATTTTTAGAAGGCACGCATCAGCTTACGTATCCTACAGTGTAACCTGGGAGTGAATACATGTAGCTACGATGTACTTCTTAACACAGAAGTATAAATCCACCTTGAAGCTTGCTAATCAGCATTCCTCCAGTTTTTAATTGGTACAAAAACTGGAGTGTAAAAACAGCAATTTGCTGTTATAAGACCAGGACCAGTCACTTAGAGTCTCTGCTTGGTCTCTCTTATATGTACACTTTTGTACTGATTCAACAAGTGAGCTATAATGTGTTAATTACTGACTTAAGAGGTGCTGACAGGTGGCTTTTGTTTACACAGAGCCAGAGTAGCTGTGTTCCCTTTAACAGTCTTTATGTTAAGCTAAGCTAACTCGTCCCTGGTACCCTAGTGGTTAAGGCGCAGTGCTTTCCCCGCTGCGGCCCGTGTTTGAATCAGGGTTGCATCAGGAAAGACATCCGGCGTAAAACACGTGCCAAATGTCAACATGCGAGTCGTCAGTGTGACAATTCGCTGTGGCGACCCCTAAACGGGAAAAGCCGAAAGTGACTTTGTTAAGCTAAGCTAACTGGCTGCTCCATGTAGCTTCATATTTAACCACCATAAATCTTCCCATCTAACTCTTGGCAGAAAAGCAAGTAAACATATTTATCAAAATGTCACTATTCCCTTAACAGTTTGATTTGTCAGATATGTTTGATCCACCCTGGTCAACCCTCAGGACCAGTTGTAGCACTCACTGTGTCATTTTCCTTCCCCTCAGATACATGTGAATTTATTAATCATGGAGGCCCGGCTGCAGGCGGAGCTACTATATGCTCTGAGAGCCATCACTCAGTACATGATTACCTAAGTGTTTGGAGAGGCACAAAGTGAAAACTCTCCACCGGTACAGAGAGACCCAGAGACAGGAGGATAAAGAAATGTCAGCAGCAGCAGATGGTGAAGCTTGATGAGAGCGGCACTTTAAAGGACACAGAGCTCCATGGTTTTGTAGCTGTGCCTCATGAATGTGCTTTTCTTTGTTTCCGATTTAATGTGTTTATACCACAGGGTGCCACGGGCCCCTGCTCACCCCTGTCTGCAGACACTCTCATTGTGAAGTCTTCTTCTCAAACGTCGCGGCTCTCAAAGTTTGTGCAATTATTACTAGAGTTGTTTTAATTTTTAGTTGTTTTGTCTTCCAGCTCATTCTGTGAGAAACTGCTTGGTTGCAGCAGTGTGTTAAAGTGGCCAACACTCATCTTAGTTTCATCAGTCTCCGTTGTGTTAACTCTGCTTTCTGCAGAAAATATCTTTTGTACAAGTTGACTTAATGTTAATGGGAGACCAGGGCCTTTGTTGATGTTGGTTTTTTTGTTGTTGTTGGTTTTTGTTTTTTTGACAATCCTCGCCAGTGTTTGAAGAGGACATTAAGTGGACTGTGAAGGATAGCAGTGTGATTTCCAAAACATTTCGTATTAATGCTGGTCAAGAACAAACACAACAGTGACTCTGCTGGGAGTTATCATGTCACTATAGTTTCTTTTAATAAGCACTTTTAAAAACTTTATATATTTATATAATAAAGTAATCGGTAGACATTGAGACAGGCAGTGTGTTGGTCTGATACCTTTCTTCACCACTGTACAACATGCAACATATTTACAGTGTTTGTCCTCAGACTTTGTGCTCAACCCCAGATTTCCGAGCAATGTTTCTTCTTAATCCAGAATATTTCGGTAAATATTGGAAGGATATTGATAGTAATGAAAAATGCAGTTTACACCTGATGATGAGAAAAATAGTAACTAAACAGAAAAGGACAGTGAACTGTTTCCTACACTGAATATTAAGTTGAGCTGTTTGAAAAATCTTTTTCCTTTTCTCATTACTGATGTGCTTCAGAAATGATCACAGAGTACGTTTCAGATCAAAGGTCATTAAAGACCAATAAAATAAGGAATTGGATGGAAAATTCCCAGAACTAGATCTGCACTGGTCATAATTCAGGTCATTCAAGATTTCAGCTTTTTTTTTGTGACCTGTCAAAGCTGATTATCAAGTAAAAATCCACAGAACAATGTGCAGACTGTTTCTTAAAACACTTGTATCTTTTTTTTTTTCCAGTTTTTGTAAACTATAGGAGGTAGTTCTTTCTTGTTTTGTCTCTGGGTGTGACAGTAGAACCTGCTTGGCTAGATGTAGAGGTGAGACAGACTGTTTAGAGTTAGGCATTAGCTGTAGAAAGGCAAAAAACAGACCTGCGTATCAACAAAAGCAAAAGCGCTGTTAACACAGGTGCCTTCAGGCTCAACATGGAGGGATGTGACTACTGGAGGCTGAATGTGGGCTCTGGTCACGGCTGGGAGACGCTTCCAACTGACAACTGTTAAGACTATTCCTGCATGGATGGGAACTGCTTTCTCTTGGTGTTGGTCACCACATTTTATATCGGACGCCCACAAGCCCCGACAACTCAGAAAGAGCCTTTGACATGGATGTTAAAAATGTTCAACTTAAGCCTATTTAAAAAAAAAATGGACTTATCTTAAAAAAAAAAAAAACTACTTAAACTGAACAAGTGAAAAGTAAAAGAATGTTTTTTGAAAATGTGAAAAAATGTTTTCTATAAAGATGCTCTATGAAAATAACTGCGGCCTGTTTTTGTTTTTCTTTTCTACAGCATCCCTAAAGAACAGGATCCGTTTTTACATTTTTGTCCATTTACTATATTGCATAAAATATTTTCCTAAACAATCTGTTTGTACACTTACTTTACCATTTTAAATGATTTAACTGAAGAAATTTGCCTTTAAGAGTGTTAAAATCTGTACAGAAGACAACATTGTCTGTCTTTAGACTTCGTTCAGATCAAGAAAAAACATTTCAAGACTCTTTAGAGGACACGGTTGCAAGCGAATAGTTGTACGTTCAGGTGTATTTGAAAACATCCTTCTCTGTTGGGTTTCAGTCTGTAAGCTCTGTTTTATGATTCATCATAAACAAGCCAACACTTGCAGTAATGAAGAGTTGACCATTGTCTTAATACTACCTGTAGTGAAATGGAAGATATTTCCAAGTTCCTACTTTTGATTTGAGGTCCTCCTCATTCATTACTCTGGAGCTTTCATCCCCACTTGTGTCTTCCTCAGGGTTTGAAGTTAAGTCTGTCTGGGGATGAGCACACAAGTAGCACCAGATTATCTGGTCTTGTGTTTTTTGTTTTACCAAATAATATATATAAATCACATCAAAATATTATTAGGGGAGAAGATACCCCTGGGGAAATTTTGCCTCAAGGGAGAAGATACCCCTGGGGAAATTTTGCTTCAAGTGTGATTCCAGCTGCAAATACCAAGCTCTCTGTATGAACCTCATTGTGGTAGTGATGATTTTCTTAGTGGAAACACAAATCCTTGGTCAACTTGCCTCTAACTCTCATATTGTGGTGGTGAAATGAACCTTGTTTGGCTCATAGGTGGAGCTACAGGTGGGTGGGCATTTCACCCCATTTTATTAACAGTACATTGATCTACCACTGTCCATACATTGCTGAAAATTAAGTAGCTGTATAATCGGACAACAGCGCCCCCGGGTGGCAGATCTGCAGGGTTGAACAGTCTGAAGCATTACAACTGGGTACACACCAACAAATTCAGACAAAGTGGGTTAAATATTTTATTGAATTTACTTCTGTTCAGAAAAGTTTGTCATCTCTGTCTGACTTTACAATGTGTAAATAAAGTAAAAGACTGAAGAACGAAAGAGGAAAGAAAAATGACCATTAATCACAAAATCCAAACATAAATTGGCTTATGCACAACCCAGTCCACCCCACCCACCCCAAATGGAAAATAATAAAATGAAAACAACTATTGCCAAATACTAAATACTGTATCAAATTGGGAGATTGTAAGTTTAAAAACAAAACAAATATACAGGGACTAATTGCTACATAAAGAAAACTGCTGGAAAAAGTATGTAGATAATTGTAATTACACAGAGGGGGATGATATGAGGGAACTAACGACACCACAACTCTCTTCTCCTAGCAGGCAACAGTACAACAAAGCCCGGTGCAGCAGACACACATACCAGCCACCTTTACAATGTCTGTCCTGTCAACTGTGCAAAACCACACACCTGACCTCAGGTAAGAAGAAGGTTTGTTGTTTATGCAGCTTCTTATAATAATTATGTTATGATTTTTGAATAATAAAAAAAAAAAAACAGGCAGTTTTAACAAGCTGGTGTTTTGTTCCCACATCTGTTTATGCGGCCAGGTTGGAGGGGGGGAAGGGAATAATCACACGTATAAAACAAACAAAGATCAAATGAAGATTCTTGTGCTGAAAAGAGAGAGGCCCTGATATGCACCCGCTGCATCATGGTGTTCTCCAGGATACATCACAAACATCTAGCACCGTTCAAAAAAACATCTGTGGAGAACAAAGTACTTGATACAAACCAGAGGCTAACACAAAACTACAGTGAAATGATGAATATTAGGAGTTAAACTGCAGAAATGTTTTTGATTACAAAAGAGTTGACAGTTATGAACAAAGTAATTAAACACAAACTTTAAGAGGGCAAACTGAAGTCCATGTGGACACAGAGTAAAAACACGCTATAGTGTCTTAAACATTGGCTGGTTAACTTCTGGTAAACATGGCCTGGAGAGTTCAAAAGCATTTCTCTTAAAAAAGAGAAGTCCACTGTTTTAAGGAAAACAAAAGAAAGAGCAGTGTGTTGGTTTCCAGTCTGTCATAACACAGAAAATGTTCACAACAAAGAATTTTGCCATTGATCTGATTACATTGATCCGTTTTTTTCTTCCAAGAGACCCTGAGAGGTAACAGCTTCGTTTTGAGATGAGAAACTGGGACAATAAGTTTTCTCTTTTGCGCAGATCATTTTTACTTGGCTTCACAATTAATCCAGAAAATAATATAACTGGGAATTATTGAAAATGGTCAAGTACTGATGCCCCACACGTCCGTCAAAGTTCTTGTTACAGGCATCATTTGCAAAGCTTATGTACATCGAGATAGATACTGTATCAGGCCCAAGCGCTCCCTAAATGCCATGCAAAGGTAAAGATTAGTGTTCCTTTGGTTATGTAAAAAATCTACATGCATCTCATACCTTACAAAAATAAACATATAGAAAATTACCATTACAATTGATCTGAAAATTCTTCCTCCAATGTAAAAAAAAAAGCTTGTCATTAGTATTATACCCATATGTATTAATATCTAATTTACCTCCATCTAAATTGTATATTAAAACTATAATCAAATATATTCTTTTTTTTCCTCACACAGTGAATTAATTTCTTGAACATTAGTACTGGATAATTAAAGTGAGAGGATATTCTGACACCCCCACCACCCCCGACAAAATATCAGGAAAACGTTAAATAGCAAAACCCTTCAAGAAGCCAGTTGTCAAATTTCCTTCAAGATTTCATTGTTCTCCTGAAAATTCTGCATAGTGTGTCATCATGTACATGAACAACTGGTACATTACTTTTTTTTTGCACAATTTAAAGGATAAGGCCGTTCATTTTCTGTATCAACAGTATTTTCAACACTCCCCATACAGAGACTGAAACCAGCAATGACTTCCCTCTATTCATGGTTACTATTTGCCAGTCAGTTAGTGCTGGATTAGCTTATTTATCTGTGCCATAGACCTTCATTGATATTCAAAACCAATTAAAAGCACATCAGGGAAGCATGCCGCTGCGCTTAGTGAGACATTTCCTCATTAAAAAACACCTTGATATTTGTTAAGAATATCCAGAGATCTCATGCATGTGAAGTTGACTCTTGCTCGCTTCAGATGCTGAAAAAAAAAAATTATGTCCATTCGAAAGCTTTGGGGGCAAAATTTTTTAAAAATATCAGGGCCTTGTGTTTCATAATGAGGAAATATGTCACTACGTGCAGTGGTGTGTTTCCTTGATGTGTTAACTGTTTTTGAATAACGGTGGAGGTCTGTGGCATAGATGAATAAGCACGACAGATTGACCGCCAGTAATCGTGAGGAGAGGCAAATGGTTGGTTTTAGTCTCTGTAAGGGGAGTGTTTAAAATACTGTTACTATAGACAATGACTGGACTCATCCTTTAAACGCTTAATGAAATGCTCTAACCCTCATGTGGATGTATTCTTTCAGTTTGGGGTCCCTGTGTCGCAGGAAACCTAAGTGCTTTGAATACACATGGGCTTGAGAGAAAAAAGGAAGAAAGAAAAAAAAAATCAGGTAGACCATCCGACAGTCGAGGCATATTGCTGTCTAGGACAATATAATACTTGGCCAACCAATCACTTGTTAACAAATATATTTACCCTTGAATGCCCTGTGTATAAAGTCACAAATCACATTTCTTCATTTTGTTAGTTTAACTGCACGTCAGGGACTAAGAAAACAAATAAAACACCGCCAACTGACATCTACCTTAACCCACTGGACTGAAGTTAAAAAAATGCCAAAATGCAAATTCCTACCCCCTTGACTGCTGGATCACTGAATACAACTGGGGAAAGGATTCATCATCTTTACCTTTTTTCTCTAAAGTGAGAAATTTATTCGTACACATAGTTCAGACGTAGGCGAGTTGTGCAACCAATGCTGAATCAAACATTTTACACCTCCGCTCATCCAGTCATTATCGTCTACACAAAGTTCCTACTGACCCCTATTGATGAATCTTTTTCTCCTGGGGATGGTGCACCGGAGGCAACCGTGTCCTGCTGGGCACATGTCCATGGTAAACTGGCCATTTCACTAAAAAAACACACACAGTCCACTGAGGCTCCAAGACCATCGAGATCTCGGGGTACCGTCTCCATGCTAAAGCTGTTCTGATGTGACATCGTCGAAATATCAACCCCCAGCAGAACGGAGTTAAGGATGTGTCTTTTAACACATCTTTAAAAATCACCAGCTGGGATTAAAAAGACAAAATGGCTGGCAACCAAATCATTCTAAGTGTTTTTGTAAAGGGAGAAAAATTGTGCATAGTAGTCTGAATCCCCTCCCTGTCCTCTGCATGTCTTGGCACATGACATGGGTGAGGTCTGGGTTTGTCTTTAAAGTCCGAGAGAAATGTTGTGCTTGTAAATATGATGTTCAGCCAGCAGGGAGGAGGACCGCACCAGTGGGTTTGGCGTATTGTGAGGTTATCGTGAGTGGAGATCAGTTCCTGCAAGACAACATGATAAAAAAGTCAATGATGGTGGAGTCCTAAATTTAAATACTTGATGTATTGCATTGGGCTGAAGTTGAGTTTACTGACTTTTTTTAATCAAATCTACACATTGTGTTGCACTTGATTTGTAGAAAATTAAACAGCAACCACTTTGATATTTACCTTAGAGCTGCAACTAACAAGCTTTTTTCATTATCAACTTGATTTTTAATGAATTAAAAAGGTGAAAATGCTGATGAGAGCAGCCCAATGTGACTTCTTCAAACATCATTTTGTCCAATAATCACTCCCAAACTACCACATTCAACTGACACTGCTATAAAACAGAGAAAGGAAGGAAATCCCCATAGTTAAGCGCCTTATAATTTTAAACTTTTATCTTTGTTCCTTTGATAGCTGATTTAAGCAATTGTTGGAAATTTTAAAAAAAGTTGTTGGAAATTAAATTTGTCAATCAACTAATCTGTTAATTGGCCTTCAGCCTTAAGGGCACAGCACACAGGTGGCGTGTGACACGTGTCAAAACACCTGCACCCATTATTGTTTGATGAAAGCCCACACACTGGCGGCGAACTGATGCACATCATCGTGGGTTGATGCACGTCAGTGCTTCAGGATATGCTATTGTATTGAATTTATGCTGCTCCCAAAGTGTGTCACGGGAGTCACGCAACACGTGTCACATGATGAGCTGCGATGCAATGCTGTCTGTGTGCAGTGCCCTTTACATTACTTAATCATTTGAGTTGTTTAATGCCAAGTATTTTCAGGTTCTGGATTCTGATATTTAAGGGTCTGCTCTTTTTCTCTGTTCTGTTTGACTGTAAAAGTTTCTGACTACTTCATCAATAATCAGTGATCATCAGTTGCACCCTCTTTGAGAGCGATTGGGATACCTGGCTAACGCTGTGTGGTCAGCTGAGGAATTAACTGGGGACCCAGTTGTGAGAGGAGCCTTGACTTGTGGTCGGGGCTGCATAGCCTTGGCCCCCAGGCAGTATGGGGTCAAAGTTGAAATCGACGTCTCCGTCCATGAGGTCACTTTTGATGATGTAGTCCATGTCGCAATCCAGGTTTTCAGTGAACATCTCTATGTCCAAGTCTGTGGGCAGTCGGTCCTGACCAGTGGGGAAGCAGGACGGAGCCCCAAACTGACCCATCCCCTGCAGGCCCGTGGTGGGACTGGTTGAAGCGATGGGCCCTCCTTGGTGAGAGCCCAAAGCTGGCACCGTGGCATGCTGGGCTTTGAGAGCAGAGAGCTGTGACGGGTCTTGAGACATTCCTGAGAGGATCAACCCCAGCTCCATCTGATGCTGGCGCTGTGATTGTGGCTGTTGTTGCTGCTGGTGGTGGCGCCATTGGGGCCGCTGTGTTTGGCTCCAGGCCTTTAGCCAGCAGCAGCTGACTGGGTTTGGACCTCACGCCCACCACAGATGTGCCCAAACCCATCAGGCCCACTCCTCCAGGACTAGGCATCGGGGGGTCCATCTGGGTCATCATGACATCACTGGGAGGAGGGGAGTCAGAGGTGAGCAGCACCTCCAGGCTGGAGGGCACGTGGGCATTGTAGTGGCCAATCCCACGAGAGCCAGAACTGGACATGGGGTTGAAGAGGGAGTTGCTGAAGGTTGACACCTCTTTGCTGCTTGGCCCGCACTGAGAGACGGAGGCCTGGGTCGCCGGCGGGAGGCTGCATGGTTGCAGCTGATGGAAGGAGGGGAGGCTGGAGCCACGAGACAGCAGGGTGGATGCAGAGGGCAGTGGAGTGAGAGGTGCTGGTGGAGCTGTGCTGGGACTGGTCCCTCCCTGCGGCCCAGTCATCAATGTCAGACCATCGATTAGATCCAGCTCCTCCATGAGGGTCTCGGTGAGGGTGGGGGTCAAGCTGCTGGAAGTGTACCGTCCCAGCAGTCCATCCTCGGGCAGGTTGTCATCGTCCTCCTGTCCAGGAGCAATGGGGGACAGACGTCCACTCACAGTGCTGGCATTAGAGCTTGTGCGTGGGCGAAAGGCGGTCCACATGTCAGAGTCGTCCATGCTGCCACGGGACGAGGGGCTACTGCTGTTGACACCCCATTTGGGAAACTGCTGGGACGAGTTAGGGCTGTCTGCACCAGCTGAGCCCGTGCTGCCGTCACCCTGCATTGCCCCACCAGCGGCCCCCAGGCTGGCCGCTCCTGCCTGCTTCTTCGTCTGCTTGGCCCTCATGCGACTCTTCAGCAGTTTGCTGCTGTTGTCCATGGACGTGGCCCGGCGGCGAGGAGCTTTCCCAGTCTTCCCTCCTTCTGGATTGAGCATCCACCAGGAGCTTTTACCTGTTGATTCATTGTGTACCCTCAAGAACTTGTTGTGGAGTGATAAATTGTGTCGGATTGAATTCTGCAAACCAAGAAGGAAGAGAATGAAATTATGAAAAATGTAGGTTATATAGATTAAAAATACACTTATTTTCATTTGACACGGTTTGATCTGCAGATTAATCACTGATACTAGAAAAGTATTTACTAAATCAGATTTATCCCAGGTCAGTTCTTTTCAGATGTTTACTGTCCCACAGGAGGAAACTGATTAACAACAACAACAACAAAAAAAAACAAGAAGACATTCAAAGTGCAGCGTCTAGAGCACAATGATTATCTGAATATTCAATTAGCTGACTGAAAGAAAGTTCATCAACAGTGTATTAATGGACGTCTGCTGAAAATGAACAGTAAGATGTGAAGTGTTAAGAACATCCAAGAGAATGTTTCACAATTGATAAAAATAATAACGTGTTACACTGTAATGCTGTGATATATTTTTAGGATGGTCATCTATAAACTTTGCTATGTAACCTGAACTGTAAAGCTGTAAATCTCGGATTTGTGACGTCATACATTGGAGTCCACATTGTACGATGATGCAGCCTGCACCACCTAGAAACTCACCTTCCAGCCAGCGGAGCTGTTGCTGTCCCCTTTGTCCCTGAAGTAAGGCACTGTCTTCACCATCCACTCGTAGATCTGTGCCAGGGTCAGCCTCTTCTCGGGCGAGTTCTCGATGGCCTGGCTGATCAGGTCTGCGTAACTCTGGCTCCCCCACGCGTTGCGTCGGGATGACCCTTTTCGTGGAGTCGCGCCGGCTCCACCCACGCCGGTCACGAGCCCGCCCTCGGCTGCAGCCGCAGACTTCTCGGGCTCAGACGTGATTTGCTGCGGCTCGGGCTTGGTCTGCTCTGCGGCTCAAAATCTGGGTCAATCGAGGGCACCGATGACTCCTCCATGGCGGTCCTCTTAACTTCCACTTGACTACAAAGATGGGTAGCACTTAAAACATCTACCTTTAAAATTCACACGTAACTCTGGGCGGATGGTGTTAAAAAACTTGGCACAAAAACAATATGCTTCACCCAATGAGGATCCCAGAAAAGAGATGTAATAATATAGACACCAATAGACTCGGTTAATCCTCAGACTAGAGATTAGGGGACCCAAATAATCTCCTTAATAGCATCTATCATAAACCTTCCGATTTATGTCGAATGAAGGGCCCCTCCGTAGAATGACAAAAACAAAAATAGCTGAGCGACACTGAGCAGCAAAACATCTGGATCTACAGAGGTTTTGACTTACCTGAAAACTGATTATAAAGTCATGAATACATCTAGATATAACATTCCTGTTAATAAACACTCAATTTTAATATTTGCCAAATGATAAATGCTGCAAAACTATACTTTTGTCTCATATATACAATTATAATAATTTAAGAAAAAATGTGAGATTTGTTTCGTACCAAATATGTCAAATCTTATAAAACATATGTCGATTCTAACTCCCGGTTCATTAGTGTAAAGCTCTGAAAGCTACAAAAAGGGATTAACTGGATACAAGTGAGTTCCTCGGGAAAGCCCTGTCTGTCTCCACTTGTAAACAAAGTGATGTCTGAGCTCGCCACAAGCCAAAACACCGCCACCAAATGTGTTCTTTAAATCCCCAAATAACCACCGAACAGTCACAAACCAGTCTAGTAAATCGAAATCCGGTGTGAAAAGAGCTGATTGTCCGAGCAACGATTTTGTTCAAGTGCCAAATGTAAAAACAATGTGTTAGAGCAGCCAAAGAAATGTCGAGGGAAAGTGGGATTTAGGTAAGAGTTGAATACTGCTGATAAAGGTGCAAAGATGAGAGAAGTGTACGTCAAAATATCCGTGCTTCAGGTCTGCGCGATCCGCCACATTGCGGCCAGGCGCATGTCACCATCTGCCATGTTTCTCCACACTCCTGACGCGGCACACGATGCTGGACTTAAGCGGTTATAAAATCCTCTCGACCGAGACCCGTAGCTCGGTCGATCTTCGTCCCGCAGTGTCGGGAGCCGATATCCAAAGCGGATTCCTGGGTGCTGGTGAATTTGGGTGGCCCCGGAGTTTTGTCGGCTCCCACTCGCCGCACTTTGAAAACAGCACGGTAGCCTCAGTAACGTTAGCTGCTTCAGCTCCTGCTACTCCAGAGTTTACAATTCGTGAAAAAGTCCGTGAAAAGCCTCAAATAACTCTCTCCAACCAACCGCCTTTAATCAGTGATGAGTTTTGCAAGAATCTCTGTCGTGGTGGTTGTCCAAATATTCACTCCTTCACCATCTTTTTGACTTGTTTTGTTTTGCTTTGACTCGAGGTGAAGACTCCCTTCTGACGTCTGTTTACCAAGGCCAGGCAACTCCTTCTGAGCATGCGCCGAAAGGATTTCTGGGAAATTGAGTCATTCGTGTGACTCACGCATATGTAAACAGTAAGTCAGAGGCAGTATGTACCGGAGCAAGATGTACCAGTTTGTGAAAGTACGCTAAATCCCAGGTACATTTAACACGTTTAAAATATCACTAGTGGACGAAGTAATCAAATCTGAAATAGTTAATCGAAGTATGTGCACCTATTTTTTTTTAAAGATTATTATACCTGTTGATTGCCCAGTGTCAGTAGATGTACACATGAAAAATGCAGGGAGAGAGCAGGAGGCGGATTACTTGCAACAGAGATCACGACCAGATGCCCAGATATGTGTCTTAGTTACCAGTCACATGCCCAGTGTGTATCTAACTGAAATACAGTTTGAGGCTCTAGAGCAGTTGCCTCCTTTGGTAACGTAGTTTTTCTCTGTGAACATAAAAATGTGGGCATACAAGTTCATCCTCGACCTCAGGAACAATATTTGTTATCAAATAATCTTAACTCTGAAGTCCCATATGTCTTTTTGAGCTAGTCTTCATCAGTCCTTACATACTTCAGTCAGTTATGTACTTTACTACATGGAAAATGTCTGTTAATCAAAAATCTTTGTGCAGTCACAATTTCATGTATTAAAGGTGTTATTTGGGTTCTACTAGTGTCATTAGACATGAACTGGTATTTTTTTAAATGTTGCTGGTTTTGCAAACATATTTTAAAATAAATGTACAGATTTAATTACTATATTAATTTATATCCTATTAAAAGGAGGTCAGTTTCATTGAGGCACAAAATATCTAAGAACATTTTGTTTTATTATTACTATTTTTTGTATGTGTCCTTATTTTTCCATCATAATAAATCTTAGATTTCACCCTAAATGCTTTGTATTTGATAACATTAAGATTTTGGAGATAGAGTTAAGTGTGACTCAGGTAATTTTTGTCTTACCATATCACTGTCAGAACTTGTAGGGTCTTCATTGATATTTTATTTGTATTTTTATTTTATTTTATGTGTGTGTGTGGGGGGGGGGGGGGGGTGTGCCTTGGGATTTGGATGACAGGATAGTTACATCCATCCATCCATTATCTATACTACTTATTCCTGAATAGGTCATGGGAGGCTGGAGCCAATCCCAGCTGACAATGGGTGAGAGGCAGGGTCCACCCTGGACAGGTCACCAGGCTATCACAGGGCTGACACTTAGAGACAGACAACCACACACACTCGTATTCACTCCTACAGGCAATTTAGAGTCTCCTGTCAACCTAAGCTGCATGTCTTTGAACTGTGGGGGAAGTCAGAGTACCTGAAGAGAATCCACACAAGCACAGGGATTACATGCAAACTCGACACATAAAGGCCCCAGGTTGGCTGGGGCTTGAACCCAGAATGTTCTTTCTGTGAAAGGATATTTCACAGTCTAATAAACTCTTTTTTTTGTTGCTTATTTTGCATTGTTTGCACTGTTTTGTTGCTTGTTAATACTGCTTATTTTGTTATATTACACAGCCTTATGTTAGTTTACTGTTTACTTGCCCCTTGCATGGGGATATGTACATACACATTGAGAGCCGATGTAACCGGAGTCAAATTCCTCGTGTGTCCGACACACCTGGCCAATAAAGCAGATTCTGATTCTGATTCTTTAAGTGTATCGAACTTTTTGGGTGTTTTTATCTAAACACTTTGCCTAAGTGTCCCTGAGCAAGACACTGAACCCCAAATTGCTCCCGGTGGTTCGACTGGCGCCAGTGTGCGGCAGCCTCTCGTCATCGGTGTGTGAATGTGTGTGTGAATGGGTGAATGGTGTATAATCTCCTGTAAAGCGCTTTGGCCAGTGTAACACACTGTGAGAAAGCGCTATATAAAATACAGTCCATTTACCATTTACCATATACTGATGGTATGTATATTATTTCTATTGATACATCTATATTTATTTTAGAGTGGCAAAGCGAAGATTCAGTTCGAAGGAGGTGACATCAGTCAGACTGTTCAGAGACACCAGAAAAAGATACCATTTTTGATCAAATAATTTTTGCATGATAAGAAATGTTGTAGCAGAAATTCAAAAACCATTAAAAAAAATTCTAGTTTTTGCAGTGTGCCTTATACTGTGCCTTATTATATCTGATGTCCCAGTCTTTTAACATATTTCCATTGATAGTTTTTTCCCCCTTAGGATTAACATTTATGACTCATGAAACTAAAATTTCAGACACATTTTTGTGAAATATGAGTCTAATACTTTATTCTTGTTGAACTATTGTACCTTAACCTACAGTTAGGCGTGTGGGTTTGGTGTAAAACTCAAATTCCTGAGTTTAAGAATAGAATGGTGCTACACAATCAAAATACCATAGTATGAGTTTTGTTATATAACTCATGCCTCTGCTCAGTATGCATCAGCAAGGATTTCTTTGTAAAGCATGACTCTCTTCACAGATAATATTTTTGATGAGATTCAAATAAGACCCAGAAGATGAGTATGTTTTGGGGCATTCGGAGACCATAAGAATGTCATGGGAGACCTGACAACATGCAGATAACAGCAGACACCTCCTATTCTTTTTCAAGTGTCAAGTCAACATATCTGTAACTAAAAATGCCTACAATAACTTGAGCAAATTCAGGTTACTTAGTTAATTTCTACCACTGAGCTTCACACGAGGACTACATCAAATCAATAATCATTTTTCATACTGAATGTAGTATTTCACTGGACAGACGTCTGCATCGCATACACTGTGTAGACTTCAACTCCCAGAAGCGTTTGTGGTCGTTCTCAGACGATTACATCCAGCTGACATCCTACGTCTTCCCGTCCATTAGCCACTGATATCCATCTACACTCGATATTTTCCACATGAAAAGCGTTCCCTGATGATTTGTTAACTCAACTGAATGCAAGATTTTATCTTATTTATCAGATGCAGGTAAGGTCAACGAGACAAAAATGCCGTTGCACATTTAGCTAGCTTGCAGCTAGCAAGCGGTAGCAGGATTGCCATAAGCTAATGCTAACGTTAGCACAAGCAGGGCTCAGCTTCGACATCAGTCAGGACGAAACTCGGTGTGTTCGGAGATCAATTCTCTATGTATTTTACAACATCAGCTGTTTCATTAGTAACCAACCTAGTGAACAGGAATAGTTTAATCTAGCTAATATGAGAAATATCAGCCCGTTATCTTAACCTGGAAAGACCTAAGCTCGTAGCTGCCGTATCTTAACCAGCCAAGTTTGTCATTTTAAATAGATAAAACCTTGATGAACCGAGACTGTTTGTTCTTTGCTTATACATTTACGGTAACCAACGTTAATCAGCGGTGTAGGTTTGACGTCCGATTAATGATGTTACTCTGTTCACTGTAACGTCGGATAACTGATTACGTGCAGTGAAGTTGCGGTGAGGATGTGGGAAGCAGCCTCACGGTGTTTGTGTTGTTTGTGTCAGGGCCCTGGCCCCGTCTCCAGCAGCTGAAGAACACCAGTCCTGTCCTCTCTGCTCCACGTCAACGGCCTTCCACCTCACCGAGTCATGACCACCCAGAGGGATCTCGATATGGTGGGTCTACGAGCTTTCTGACAGTTATTTTTCCCCGAATGTCAACATAGTGGGTGGTAAATTGATGTTTTCCAGTGGCATGCTTCCGCTCTGCACTGCTGTCTCTCACACCTATTGATACTGTACCATGTGTTGTATATAGATATATTTAAATATCATGACGATAAAAGTGCATAAACATATCCCCAAGGTGAAATAATTATGGGTCATGGATTAACCCTGTTCTACAAAAACTTAGCCGGGACAGTGGCTGCTGTTCCTGTGAACGCCATCTGTCTAATCTCAGTTAAAACGCTGCCCTACTTTCCTTTCAGGATTTAGACTCCAATTGATTGTGCCCTCTTACTAAGAACCCTCCCCCCTTCCCTGAAAACTATATCATGGTGGTAGTTGTGCAGAGAATAAGATTTCCTGTTATGATATTTGATAGCTGGCTTTCTATCTTTAACTTCATCATAATGTTTCACAAAGTAAAGATTGCAGATTTGTGAGGCTGTACCCAGCAGATCTGTGCATTTGCTTGATAAATTGTTGACACATTTGATCAGTTATCCAAGATGGAAAATTATAATTTGATGTTGATCATATTGGTCAATTAGACAGTCATCTGTTCTAGTGCTAATGTGAATAATATGGAGGTTTTTAATTGTGGAATAGTTAAGATGATTAATCAGTTAATCCAGTGTCAGAAGATTAATCTTAAACAATTTTAATAAATTATTTCTTTAAGACAAATTTCTGCATTGCTACTTTGCCAGCAGAAATGCCAAATATTTGGTGGTTCCAGCTTCTGAAATGTGAGACTTTTCTTTATCCGACATTATTGTATTGGATTGCTGGTTCGACAAAACTAGATGTGATTACTTTGCCTTGGGTTTTGTGATGGGCAGTTTTCATGGGCTTCTGATATTTTATGAACCAAATAATATACAGTGAATTGAGAAAATAATAGTCAGATCACTCGATAATGAAAATAATTGTTAGTTGACATGCCAGCGTGAGGAGTTGCAATTTCGGTCTGTTTTATATACTTGGAAATTTTATGTCTTTCAGGTTTTGGGTGGTTATTCAGAAAAAAAAAACAATAATCAAGAAATGATCTGCCAAATATATTCTATTGAAAATTTTTAGTTGCAGCCTGTGAAAGAGTAGCACACATCCTTCCTGTCTGAACATTTTATAAAATTACATTTATACAAAAATGTTGTCAAATGTTTTATCAAGGACACCTACATCAGGTAAAAACCCACAGATTTAATGGAGGTCTCTTGGCAGCTAGCCTAGGACATTAGCCTGCAACTGATTATGCTTTTAGGAAATTTGGACCAGTATCAACAATAGATAAGCCTTTGGTAGCTCTGTTAACCTTTAAGAAAATGATTCATAACAGTGTTTGAAGGATTTAATGTCTTTGTTTGGATTGGAGAAGCTCCAGGGTGTTTGTGATGTGGGAGGTTGCCATGTATAACCAGGCTGATTTGACTTTGTTTTTATTTTGTTTGGGATGAAAGGGATGGGGACAAAGCTTGTAAATGATGACATGAGAATGGAACCCCACACTGAGGTTATTCAGTTCAGAGGGGGGAGGGCAAAGGACCACCGAGGGAAGATTATATTTGTAAACAGATCAGAGAGTGGGGTCGTCCCTCCCTGACATCACACCTCATGATTAAGTCTCTTCAGCATACACAAACAGAAATCTGAAAGCAACACAAAAAGTCATACTCCGTTTCTGGCACAGACAACCAGTAAAACATCTGTGAAATCAAATAAACAATTATATAAACAAAGCAACCACAAACGCACAATATAACGACACAACAAAAAATGCAAACAAAGAAAATAAATATAGGTTTGTTACTGTGACTCTCAGGGTCTTTTATAATGAGTAGATACATTTACAGTACATTAGTCTAACTACATGTTCTATTCAAAGTGAAACTCTTTAACCTCTGTGATTTATGAACCAAAGAAAGTTTATGTTCCACCTTTTAAAGAAGGACAAATGTTGGGGGATGTGTCCCATCTGTCAGTTGTCACTTTTGAGTAGGGATGTCCCAGTTGGGAGAGTTAGTTGATGGATGATTTTTGTCCCCTAAAGTAATTTTTTGGAGTAGTTTTTTTTGGAGCATGATTAATTAGAAATGATGGATTAATAAGGAATAGTAGTTCCAGCCAAATAAATTTGTTGATTAAGGCCCAGGATCAATCGATAATTCGAGTCGGAGTGATATTCCAATCCAGACTTGAGTTGATTATACATACGGTAAATACACTAAGGGGACAAATGAGATTGCAAATCCTTTGCTGTTGATGACAGTTTGAACCCTGTTATAAGGGGCATTGTTACAAGCACATCACATGTACAGACGAGTCACACATTAACAGAAAAACCAAAATAAGTGGGTGGTCTCTTCCAGGATGACAGTGCCCCCATCCACAGGGCATGAAGGGTCACTGAATGCTTTAATGAATATGAAAATTATGTGACTCATATGCTATGGCTTTCACAGTCACTACATCTGAACACCTATGGGAGGTTTTGGAGTGATGTGTTAGGGTCTCCACCACCATCATCAAAACACCACAGGAACATCTTCTGGAAGAATAGTATTCATCCCTTGTAGAAGTTATGGTGGCTCAACACCTTACTAAGATACTGATGTTGATTTTTTTCCCCTTTCATTTGTGACTGGACTGTAGGTGCAAGGCTGCAGAAAATCTACAGTGTTGTGCCTTGCGTGCAGAGTAAGAGATTAACAGACTGGTTTATGTTGTTGTTCAGAGGATAACATTCAGGGGAACCCCCACTCCTGCACACACATGCACAGTCCCCCTTTGGGTACGCACTCACACACATGCACAGTCCCCCCTTTTGGATACGCACTGGCCATGTAAATTTAATAACATGGCCCTGAGCAGTCTGGGACACCTGGGGTTATCGCATTAGGCCAACAGCCCAGAGTGGAGCTCCCAGCATCCTGGAACTAAAGGGCCAGTGTTCTCCCCCTCAGCCCCACCCTTATCTCATGTTGTCTCCAGCAACAGGGGCTCACTTCAGTGTAAGCTCTCAATGACAGAAGTCACCCAATCGAAGTGTGGAGACCTGGTGTGGATAAATCTAATTAGACCGAAATGCTCGTCTCTTCACAGCCTTCTGAAGGTCACCTCATGTCCGAAGAGGTTAGAGGAAGTGGAAGGATAGAAGTTTGGTGTTCGTGTTGTTTTGTGCTGATGTGACATTTCTATGGACTAAGATTTGCTGTTTGTTGTTGTAGGTGCACCTGCGCCTTATCCTGGTCAGTGGGAAAACACAAGACTTCACTTTCTCCCCAAATGACTCGGCCACAGATATCGCCAAGCACGTATTTGAGAATTGGCCTGCAGGTGCGTACAGAGTTGAGTTTGCTCTTTGTTTGTTTTCACCACTCATTTTATGACTTTGCACTGAGTTGTCCATCTGATACAGTCACAGCTCCTGCACATACTGTATATTGTCGGATTCAGATGAAAATGAACTGGTTTGTTCCACTTCTGTTGCTGATTGCGTGTAATGAAGACTCTTTACACTGTCCATATTAAAATGACCATAGGGTAATTTCCACAATTTTAAAGAGTCAAAATCGACTGAATGGGGAATAACAGTTTTACGGTGTAGCGATTCTCATCTTTCAATTAAATTGCATTCATTTGGCCCAGTAGAGTTCACCTTTTGTTTAAGAAGCTGTGCTGCATTGTGTTTAGAAATGAAGTTAATGTTCTACCATGCTTTATCACTATATTTAATAAATTATCACTCTACCAGACTACAAACTGTAGCATTGATCCCATGCTCTTACACTTGCATGAGTGTAGAGTTTGTGGTTGCTCTGATAATATTTATTTATTTCCCACATCAGAAGCAGGAACATAAATGTGACCATGCCTTAAGTGATGCACTTTCTCTGCTCTCTGACAGGATGGGAGGAGGAGAGGGTGAGCAGTCCCAGTATACTGCGCCTCATTTTCCAGGGACGCTTCCTTCATGGCAACGTTACCCTGGGAGGTAAGTCCACCTGTGAAAATGGACCCATCGCAAAGATCATTCTGGCTGTAGTGAATGCCAACACGCCTGTTGTTCTTTGTACAAGTTTGTTTCACTGGCATTTCTGGAAGCTTGTCATATCATGAATGGAGTCTGCTCAGTTATCATCTGGTTCAGTGACTTAACTGTACAAAACGCAGCCTCCAGTCAGAAGCAAGCCTTATCTGATCAGTGAGTAAGTTTCAGTCCAGTAGAATGCTTGGATCACTGCTAATGTCACACAAAGCACTAGCATTACACAAAGCCCAAATTACTCCCAGATTAAAATCCTACTAATTCAATATGAAGATAAACCCATGACAATGTTAGGTCGCTAATATTTCCAAAACAGACACATTAACTTTAGGTGCCAACAAATCCAGGAGGAAGAACATCAAATCTGAGCCCTTTGGCTGCTATAATGTTCTTTATCTCCATTTCCAAGACCAATAACGAACCTACAAGTTTCATTTTGTATATTTTACAATGCTGTGAGAGTCTTCTGAGTATGCATGTAGAAATTCAGTATCATGTGTGCCTTAAGAAATAAACAAGAAAAACTAGTTTCTCACTCTTGAGTTGCTCACTCACTCTCCCGAAACTTTGGTCACAGTGTTTGTTTGCACACCAGAATTCCGCCTCTACTTATTTATAAGTAATTATAAGTGACTGGTATTTTCGTTAAAGACGAAAGAAGGGGGGGCTTAAACAGGAGAATATCTGTTACAGTAAGTCTAAAGAAAACAAAAAGTGTTCATGTTTCACACTTTTGACTGAAATCTACACTTCCTTTGTAAAGAATTAAAGCTGAAGTTACAAAACACTATTAACTTCCAGAGGATGAATGTCAAACACATTAGTAAGGACCTAGTCCAGTATCAGTTGCATGACATGACAAAAATGAATCCGTCTGTTGTCATAGTGACAGGTGTGATGTCACCTCACGGTCATGCTAAGCATGACTTGGACACAATTTAACAAATGAGTAACAGAGTGAAGCAGCACATCTGATTTGATTAGTTCAATCTCATTAACCCTTCGACCTCATGTACTCTCTGCCCTCTACCTGGTCATCACAGCTGTGGTTTACTGCACACCAGTCCTGACAGGCTGGTTCAGGACTAAGTGGAACCATCACCGGTGAACCAACCATCTCTGTTTCTTTCCTGAAGCTGCAGTTAGATGAAAATTTACATGTGGTGAAAATAAGGTGGGACAGGAAATTGTGTGGGTCGGGTTGTAAACATAATCCAGCAGGCTGGAGCATAAACATGCTAGCTGTAGCTAGCTTGGCTAGTGGGTGACAAGTTGTTGATGACACAGCCCCTTATCGAAAACTTCATTTATCTCTGTCACTGTCCTCACACTCAGTGGAGCTAATAAGCATTTTTCCTTCTGTGCTGCTTGGATTATTCTGGGACGCCTTTAGAAAAATGAGTATAATCACAGTCTAGCCGCACCACAGCAGCCCTCATCTTGTGGGCGCTGGTCAAATTATGTGGAGTTTATCTGCCAGTGTGAATTTTCATTAACAGAGTGATTGAAAACTATATAGAGTGGAAATATGTGGGGAGCAAGATCTCTTTTGCAGCAGTGCTCTGACAGTAATGTTCAAACAAGTGTGATAAATATAGCACATTATTGTCACCAAGAGTAAAAAAAAAATAAAGGCAAAACGTCAATTTAAACATTCATGTTAGAAATAAAATATAAATAAGACAAAGTTATTAGCTGGAACATTTACATTCAAGTGGTAGAAGTGTTCCAGTGATGCTTTCAATCACACCATTTCATGAGGTGTATCTGTGTTCGAAGCCTTGAAGCTGCCGCCGGGCCGAACAACCGTCATGCACTTGGTTGCCAGAGAGACCCTTCCAGAGCCCAACTCTCATGGTGAGTGTCTTTTCTTTGTCTCCCTTTTAAAACAAAGCTACAGAGAGTGCGACACTGACACTTCATTTTTTTGTCTTTGTAGGTCAAAGGAACAGGGAAAAAACCACAGAGAGCAACTGCTGTCTCCTCTTGTAAAGCGGGAGAAAGAACCCCTTACCCCAGTCTCACAAATAACACACACAACATATACATGCACATGCATACACTCTGCTCTCCTCTGCTCTTGTCATCCTGTCAGCTGTGCATTTGGAAGAAGTCACAGGAAGTCTGGTTGGGGCTGCTTCCCACTTTTCTGAGGCTTTTTGTGGCAACGTCTCACCTTTTGCCCCCAGACATTTGCTGTACCGGAAGAATTTGCTGTTGTTGCTCATTTATATTTCACAGTGGTGACATTAAACAACACCCACACTCCTCCATGACCCTGTTCGCTACTGGACAAGTTTTAAAGAGCTGTCATATGCACCATGAACTCTTCATGGACACAGAAGTGCTACAAAGGATGTGTGGGCTTTAACCCTTCCCTACTACTCACATGGATCTTTCCCCAGGTCTTATGAATGGTGTTAACCCTCTCATTGCACTTGACTAGTTTGTTAATGTTTATTGTCATCTCTTTCTTCATGGCTTTGTTTTCGGTCAGAAGAACAGGCCACAATTCCCCATGTGTAGAAACCATGCCATCTTCCTCACAGACTGTTCTGCCTCTTCTTAACTGAGCTGTTCGGTCTGTATCAGCACCAGTGGCGTTTGTGCCATTACCCACATCCTGTTTATTCCTGGTAATGGACCAGTTATTAGGAGGGGCTGTGTGAACAGCTGAGGGACAGCCATGGGGAACAGTCTCCCAGGGAGGCTCGTAATGATGGAGGCAGGGGATTATTTGCTTGTGTGTCATCAGGTATCATGTTCACACTTCTGGCAGTGATTTTGTTGACTAGGCTGTCGATGCTATGGGAGCTGGCGCAGCGGGCTAGTTACATGCACACAGAAGAAGCAGTTGAAGATGGGAGGGGATGTGTCGACGGTGCGAGGCCCTCCTCTACTGGACGTTGAAGACGAGGCAGAGAGAGTTTCTCTTAAGAGTTCAAAAGGAAAATTTTGTCGTTTCATTTGGATGCTGTCTTTACTTCTTGTTTGCCTTTTATTGTGGAATTTATTAATATTGAAATTTAAATATCAATTTTTATCTTGTGTATAGGTATTTGTTGAATTTTAGTGTGGGTAAGTTTATGTGTGAGTGTGTCTGAGTGTGCGTGTGTGTTGCATGTGGCATACTGTATGAGGACTAGTGAGGGCATGTGATCTAAAAATGTGCACTGAACGTTGATAGGCTGCACTTTCTTTAGAAGCAGTTGATTCCTTCCATTGAGTGTCCTTTGGTTTGTGTTTTTGTCATTCAGTAACACTACTATGAAGTTTAGCTCTGTATGAATAAATGTAAAAACTAAAATACAATGTGGTCTACATAAAAGCTTGTATTATAAATTAATAAATCTTTAAATATGACAACTTGTTTTGACTCCATTGTACTTTCTCAGATGGCAGCAAAAGCTCTGGCTGCAGCTAAAGGTTGTTTTAATTATCTTTATTTTTTTTATTCTTTAAAATGTCATTTTGAAAAATATCCAAAATTTCTGAGGTAACATCTTTAGATGTCTTGTGTCTGACTGATGAGCCCAAATATTCACATTTTAGACACTGAGCCACAGAATTTTTGGTCTTTTAAATGTCTAAATCATTATTCAGTTATCAAAGCAGTTGAAGAAACTCTTGACTAACTGATTGATCGACTTGCTGTTTCAGCTCTAGCTCAAGCCCTAAATTCCAGAAACTGGTCTTGCTTTAGCAGCAGCATGGTGGAGCCTCACAAGGCCAAGAATGTTCTGGGTTGGAGCCTGGGCCGGCCCGGTGCCTTTCTGTGAGGACTTTGCATGTTCTCCCTGTGCCTGCGTGGGTTCTCTCCAGGTATTCTAGCTTCCTCCTGTCCTGGGTGTATCCCCACCTCTCCCCAAATGTCAGCTGGGATTGGCTCCAGCCCCCCAGCAGAACAACACTGCCAACCCGAGACATGCCACTAACATTATCAAGTGGAAAGTGACTGCATTGACATTCAACATGATCTCTCATTATTTCCTCTGGCTCTGTTCATTTCCTGTCTCCTGTCATCTTCAATAAGTCACTAAAGAGACTTTATATTCCAGTGGTCCAGAGGCTGTGACACTAAAGTCTAAACATCCAAAAACAAGAGGCCTGAGAAACTAGTTCTCCTCGTTGCATGCCCGCCTCCTGGTGGTTGGAGCGTGGTGTTAGGCATCCCTGTTTGCTGCAGGGCCCTTGGCTCAGTGGGGACATTACATTCCTCCACCTGAGGCACCCCCTGCTTCACTGACTGACAAAGCAAATGATAAGTAAAAGGATATTTGGAATTGTTTTAAAGGAGATGAAAGTATAGTTTCTGGTCCCTCCTGTGATAACTGGTTACACAATAATACTGTATATTGCTAAGTTTTGTTTAGGCTTCATCTCAAAGGACAAGTGTTGCTGTTGTTTGCATGCTGACACCCAGTGGAGAAGATGCTGCAATGTTTTGTCCTTAACCACCAAATTTCTGACTGTGATTTGGGAGACAACCAGTGTAAAGTACATGTAGTTTGACAAATTCTAAGCTCTAGATTCAGTTCCTGAAAATGTTTCAGCGCTTTCAATCACATCTCATGGCCTTCATCAGTGGTTGTCATGTCACTTTACCCAAGAGTAGCATTTCAGTCATATGCTAGCAGGTGGTCACCTACTGGGGGTAAGGGGATCACATCTCTCACCATGGCCAAGGATCAGTGAAGGTTCAGTAGCAGTTTTACCTGATGTGTGCCAACAAACTGTATTTGTCATGTGAGGTCCATAATGGCCAGACTAGTGTTACCTGTTTACCTCTAGGTGGCAGTGCTCCTCTGTTAGCCTAATGAGAGCGGTTATCTTGGGTTGATGGACTGTTTTACATGGAAATGTATAAACCTTTATTTTGGTGGAAGGAGATGTAGCACCATAAGTAAATCATTTGTGACCTACTGTTTCAAGATGTGCATCCATGTCTGTAGCCTATAGAAACAACATAAAGCTGTACAAGCTGAAAGGAAACAAAACCTATTTCTAGACAATTTGGTGATGGAGATCCCCGGCATCACAGAAGTCATTATAACTGTGTGTTGTGCTGATTTCCAGCATCCTGCCTCCAGTCTGCCTCAGGAATCTGCTCCTGACATCTAGCTGCAACACATCCAGGTTTCCAGTTGTCATTGGCAGTGCACCTCAGGAAAAGTGCAGGCTTCTATTGTTTTGAAGCTTCTTGTCGTTCAGATTTTCCACTTGCTCCTGTCTGAACTACATTAATCACCAGTTAGGTCTGGCAGAGTTTAATAGAAATAAATTCTAACCAGAAGCACCAAGCAGACCACAGAGGTGATCATCCAGGTTTTATTGAGAGTCCTGGGAGGTAATCTGTTGAAATTTCTGCCACCTAAGTCCACCACATACATAGCTGCCACTGCCGCTGCTGCTGCTGCTGCAAGCTGAAATCCTGTCTGCGGTCAACATGACTCGAAACACGTGTGTAGCCACTTTCTTGGGGGAACTGTGGTGGGCTGTGGTCCAACCAACATACATTGCTGGTCTGCCTGTCCCGGGAGGGTTGTCTTCACTTTCCTGCCGTAGTCCTGATATGGAGGGCTTAACTCCCGCTTTGGCAGCAGTACATCCATGCTGTTTAGAGTGGAGGAACATTCTGCTCATTTGGAAGTAATCTTACTGGAGTTAAACTGTTCTCACGTAGGATCTCTTGTGTTGAAAGCTGCTACATTATAGTACAAATGTAGCTTGTACCAAGACTTTAGGGGAAAAAAGACTTGAATCCACACTGTTTAAATGAGGCGTGTGTGCAACTCTTTTGACATGAACGAGCTGTACCAACCTGTCATTTCCATTCAGTGATCCTCTCCAATCATTTTTAAAGCACCAGTTATTTTGTCCTGATCATATTCACTGGACCTCAGACCTAACTAGAGCTGTAGGTTAAATGTCTAACTGCTAAATTATACTGTAACAATTCAGTCAACAAAAGATAACTGGTGCCAGTTATTCAAATGTGAATACTTGCTGGTTTCGGATGCTGTACTTCTCAACAGAGTCCATCTTTTTCCAGTCTTTATGCTAAGCTAAGCTAACTGCCTGCTACTTCATATATAACACACAAACATGATTGTGTGATGTGTGTGTTATTTTCTTGTATGGTATGTTGCTCTCTAAATCCCGTTTCCCCCTCACTGCTTCTGACCATTTTATATCTGACAGTTTCTCATTATTAAAACCAGCTGTAAACACACAGCATCACACAAAGCACATACAGCCGACTGAGAGCTACCACTTTCTTCATTTTAACACCCTCTAGATTCCATTTTGGCACATTTTTGCAGACTTTCTATGCCTTTGTCTTAGGGTGGCACCTTTGACCTCTCTTTACTCACATGCATGATATCCATATTTTTTCAGCACAACTTCAGCTATAACTCTGAGTTTAACAAAGAATAAAGCTGACAGGGACCCTAAATTATGAGAAACAGGCCCCTACAAAGATGTGCAAATATTGAATGATAATGATTCAATATTATTATAGAACCATTCAAAGTGGTGAAAAATACAGTTTATATAATGATAATGATTCAATATTATTATAGAAACATTCAAAGTGGTGAAAAATACTGCTTATATGATATATCAGTTATGTTATTATTCACAAAATGTGTACTTGTTCCACATGATGATCTTGTTTGTTGCAATGGACAGTGTGATTGTGCGTTCATGGCTTTATATATGTATCATCATGTGGTCATTCCTTTGAGTCTCTTTATCCACACCAGAGGTCCTCTGATGGGAAAGAG